GGGATAGAGGCAGGAAAGCCAGACAGCTGCAGAGAGCTAAGCAGACAGGAAGTGTATGTGTGTCTGGTGCTGGGAAGATCTGATCACAGCTCACAGCGCTCCGGTCCTCATTCCATACAGCCAGGAGTCCACTCAGCAAGCCTGGGGCCTAACCCAGCCTCTTCTTCCAAGGCTGGAACTGGGGTTACAGAGAGCTGTCCCCTGTGTCAAGCTGGGAGTTTAACTCAGCTCCCCATGCTGGGCAGTCCCTGGTTCCAGGGTTAGCTTTCTTGTCTCACTCCAGGGATGGTGTTACTGTTTTTGTCTTGTAAAAAGACTTTGGAATTGGAGGGAACTCATCACTTTCTGCAGTTTCGGACCAAACAATGGTCCACTGCCATGGAATTGTTCTTGCATCTTAGTGACTGTATGGGGTTCCCAAGACTGTCAGTCTTCATGAGTGCAGGCAGCCTAAACTTTCTCCCTCAGAGCGGCTGGTGGGTTTGAAGTTAGTAGTCCCGGGCTTAGCCTCCAGCGTTCTCAGACTGCCTGTGGGTGAAGAGAGTGCTACTGGAGTGTGGCCAGCACCTTGTGGGTCTTTCCTGCTATGGACAGAACCTTCCCCTTCCTTTGCAACCCTGTGGCCTGCAGCCTCAGACACTGGACTTCAGCCCTATACAGCAAGTTTGCTGCCCCCAGGAGGCCAAATGGCGTCCATTGCAAGGGATGGGTGGAGCCTGTCCCTGCCAGGCTGCTTCTTTGTGGTCCTTGTGGAACTAAAGTTTGTTCTCCGCACACTGAAGAAGTTCTGGGGAGCGTGAGGCAGGTATCTGAAAACTATGTGGTTCCTAAACCTGATGGCCTCCCATCCCACCTAGAGGGGCTCCGTATGGTGCAATCAGCCCTTTGGTTTGCTTCTGCTCCTGAGTTCTGCATAACTAATGGCAGGCTGAGGGTCACGGAGGAAGAGGAAGGAGGAAGCTCTCCGCACAGTGGCTGCAGTGGTGGTTTAAATGGAATGATTGTAAGGATTACACGGGACCAGACGCTACTTCCTTCAGTTCACAGGGCTGCTGTGAGTGAGGCCCATTCTGCGACACCAGACAACAACCACCAAACCACGCTTTTGTTTCTATTAATTCAGGGTGAGACTGGTGTGTAGGTGCCTGCGAGGCCATGGAGTCCCCCCTGGAAGAAAAGGATGAGGCTCTGCTGCCGGACTTCCCCAAAGGACCCTTGCAGACCTACCGGGCCAGGGCGTCCTTCAGCTGGAAGGAGTTGCTGCTGTTCCTGGAAGGAGAAGACATAATCCGCTTGAAGGTGAGCGGTGCAGGGCTGTGTATGCCGTGTGCAGGATCCACTGAGTAGTACTGT